CTGAATGCAGTGCCAAATTTCATTAAAATTAGACAAAGGATTCTTGAGCTAGGGCCATTTTTTTCTGTTTTTACAGCATTTTTTATGGGAAATTCATTATTTGTTTTCGATACACATCCTTATATTAATCGGCGAATATAAACAAACATTTGCATATTATTTTCCAACTAAAGTATGTGAAAATGGTAAATATAATACATTATAACAACATTATTAAATAAATTTAATTATGCATAACACATCATATATTTATACAATTCACTACATGAGTATTTTTTTGAAAGGCGAATAGCTTATATGTGTCACTTAATGATAGATAAACAAATAAATTGTGACGTACGGTGGCCGTTTATGATTAAGTATAACTCAATACTTCAATGTTAAAATAAAACAGTATTTAATTACAACCGCAAATTAAAAACAAAGAAGTAAAGTCAACCAAAGATAATTAACCATTCCAGTGAATACCTTGTCAGTAACGCAGTTCGGCTTAACGTCCGGTAAATCCTAAATCAAAACCCAAAACATCGACGCACAATAATTCACACTAATTCGACTGGATAGTTCCACCCAATAGTCACTCAATAACCACTGACGTCAGTAAACTGACACCGCAATTTATACACATGGCGGCTAACATATATTCATAAGTCGAGTGTCACGCTTGAGCTTCGGTGCCGGTAGTTACTTATTTTCTTCCTATATGACATGGATGCACGCTGATTTGCTGCCATTACGTATTTTGAAATAAGAGGATGAAACAAGTATGTATAATAGATATACATATATACATATAAAACAAGTATATTATATATATACATATTATATTAAATATTATATACATATACATATGAAACAAGTATGTATAATAAAAAATATACTTATTATTTTGAAAAAGGCAACACCTGTTTTAAGTTATTACACCAAAATTTTACGCAATGTGTTAATTATAAAACCCAGTGGAACAATAAACCTTCTTTCACCGTCTTTAATTTTCAAATTAAAATGAGTAATTACTAATAAAACTGATAATATTGTAACCTCACAATTTTGTATCCTGAACTGCTTTTAGAAGAAATCCAACAAGTTTATGGGTGGTCTAGCTAAAGTGCACTCGAGAATCTTGGTTATTCTAAAAGTGCACCCTGAAGTAAAAAGCAAAGTTGAGAAACATCGACACACAATAATTCACACTAATTTGACTGGATATTTCCACTCAATAGTTACTCAATAATTACTCAATAATCATTGCAGTCAGTAGCCTGACACCGCTATTTATACACCTGGCAGAAAGCACATATTCATAAGTCCGGAGTGTCACACAAGAACCTTCGTGTCGGTAATTAATTATTTTCTTGCTATATGATATAGATGCACTTTGATTTGCTACCATTACGTATTTTGAAATAAATAAGAGGATGAAACAAGTATGTATAATACATATACATATATACACAAACATATAAAATAAGTATATTATATAAATATAGATATATTACATATTCTATACATATGCATATAAAACAACTATATTATATACATATAAATATTATATTGCATTTTATATACATATACACATAAAACAACTATATTATATACATATATATATATTATATTACATATTATATACATATACATATAAAACAAGTATGTATAATAAAAATATAATTATTATTTTGAAAAAGGCAACACCTGTTTTAAGTTATTACTCCAAATTTTTTACGCAATGTGTTAATTATAAAACCCAGTGGAACAATAAACCTTTCACCGTCTTTAGTTTTCAAATTAAAATGAGTAATTACTAATAAAACTGATAATATTGTAACCTCACAATTTTGTATCCTGAACTGCTTTTAGAAGAAATCCAATGGGTCTATGCTAAAGTGCACCCGAGAATCTTGATTATTCTAAAAGTGCGCCCTGAAGTAAAAAGCAAAGGTTGAGAAACACTGAAATAGACGGTATTGTAATATTATTTGATACTTTGTTCCATTAGCAAAATGCAATGGAATCAAGGCAGATGATAATCCAGGAATTTCTTGGCCAATGATTTAATATCCGCCTGCATGTACATTGTTTATTTTTCTCCTTTCTTTGTAGCTCGCTTGTCTAATCTGCAGCGTTTTGGTAACAGCTCTCAATTACTTGCTTCTCTTACAGTTTAAATGCAATTTTCAAGTAATAGAAAATCGATAGTTTTCCCTTACCATTATCGGTATATTGGCGTTTCTTATCTCAAAGCATCAAGGCTTTTTATCTTTGTTCTCTCAACAATCGTGTTAGCTGAAAACTTGATTTTCTTGTCCTGTAAGTCCATGTATAGCACGAATCAATCTTTTCCACCAGAACATGCCACCGAATAAGAAAGCCGGGTTTTAAGAAAATCAGTATTGACAGAGGAATAAATAAAATATATAATAAAAAGGAAACCAAAATTTCACCATCTCTAAAAATAGATGGACAATCAGAATCTCTCGACCACAAAGCCATATTTCGACCAACTAATCATAAAGCTTTCACACCGAGGATTAAAGAAAACACATAAACAAATAATAAAAAGGAAACCAAAATTTCAACATTTCTTAAAATAGATGGACAATCAGAATCACTAGACCACAAAGCCATATTTCGACCAACCAATCTTTAAATATAGGTGTATATTTAAAATTACTAGGCCACAGTTCGACTAAGTAATTAGATAATTTGCACAACCGGGATATAATGCAACATGCCAGTGAGAAACAGTGTTGCACTTTTGAAGTGGATCAATAGATGTGTATATAAAAAGATGGTAAAACAACCTAAAGTAAAACGATAAATCAATTTGGTTCATTCTCCGATATTTGGGTATGTTACGAAATACGACATTTGCACGACTAACTGTTAGCTTTTAGGCGGTTAAAACGTATTGATACATTTAAAAGCGTACATCCTATCTTTCGCCACCTTTTTAATCAGCCTGCTGATACATTTGATAGCAGGCATACGTCCCTTCGCTCACATTGTCATACTTCCTCGGCACAGAAGTTCGCTTTCGGCCAGAAATGGGTTAAAACGTTTTCCTCATTTTAGGTGGAAGAAGGAGCCCAGTAGCGGAGACGGTTTAATATCGACGCCAGTCTGACAGTGGTCGCGGGGACTGAGCACTTTTTGTTCTAGGACAATGTGCATACGTACGTGTTTCCTCGCGTTAAAATCGACCTTGTATAACATGCTGCCTTCGTGGGGAGGCCGGGTAAATATTTACTATTTTTGGATACATATACATACATATGCCCAGAATGTGTCTCAGACAGTGAAGATCGAAAGGCACTGAAGCGTCGCTCCTGTCTAGAGTAGTCTCCGAGCTCGCTGACGGGTCACCAATGCCATAGTTCTCACCAGCGCCCAGTTACCCACCCTATACGTCCTTCTCCAACAGCGCCGACTACGCTGGCTGGTTAGGCATGTACACCGTATGCCGGATAGAAGGATTCTGAAGGTGCTTCTGCACGGGGAACTGCACACCGGCAAGTAAGCACAAGGGCGACCTCATTTTCACTTCAAGGACGTCTGCAAAAGAGATAAAGGCGATGGGTATGGAAATTGAGAGAAGACGTCGCCCACGATCGCTCACGGTGGAGACGCGATTTACACCAAGGTTTTTGTGCGAGGAGACGTGAAACGGAGGTTTGCCGCCGAGGACATCGTGCTCGACGGTAAGAAAACAACACGGAATTATAGGCGAAGTACGTCTTCATATGAATTGAATTTTCGATTTCCGATGCCGAATCGATATCCATTGCACCACATCCCCAATGGATGTCCTGGGTAAGACGATAAACTACATCCGACAGCAATGCCTTGATAAGAAGGTTTTAAGGAGCGTGGAACCAACTCTTAATTGGCGGTGTTCCCAGGTCCACCCTGACCCCGGGTGGTAGCACCTGTCAGGGGGTCCAGCTATGGGCAAATAATTAACACACAAAAGGGGTAAAAACACTATAAAGTATAAAAATAAGTTTTAATATCAGCAATACGTTTTTAGAAAAAAATTTACCAGCAATTCATTTAAAAAAATATATATATATATTTTTGAAAAAAAAATACCAACAATACATTTTGGAAAATAAAAAATTAACAGCAATACATTTTTTGAAAAAAAATATTACTAGCAATACATTTTTGAAAAAAATATTACCAACACATTTTTGCAAAAAAAAAAAAATAGCAGTAATAAAAATGTTGTCGGCATTAAATAATCCATTGAGGTTGATATGCCGTAAAACAAACCAAACCAATATATACTGAGATAGATAGATAGATAGATAGATAGATAGATAGATAGATAGATAGATAGATAGATAGAAAATATTAGCAGTAATAAAAATCTTGTCGGCATTAAATAACTCATTGAGTTTGATATGCCGTAAAACAAACCAAACCAATATATACTGAGATAGATAGATAGATAGATAGATAGATAGATAGAAAATATTAGTAGTAATAAAAATCTTGTCGGCATTAAATAAACCGTAAAATATGCCGTAAAACAGAATAGACTAAACTACTACACCACAACAAAGATCCTTTGAGATTTACGGTTTAAATTAAATATTAAATATAAATTAAATTAAATTAAAAAAAAAAAATTCAAGAGGTTATAAGAATTCAAAAAGTGAGTAGATTTTGCCGGGGTCGCCTTGTATGTATATAAAAAGAATTATTTTCTTCTGTGGCCGTGATTTCTCGGTTGAACTCTCTGCCTTCGGGCGGGGAGGAACCCGAAGGAGGCTACGCCGAAGGGCGGGTTCACTTTCGGGGAGGTAAACCGACCCTGAACCCGTTTATACGGGTTCAATGGGCATATTTTTGGCCGGGCCCACGGGCTCGGAGATCCCACATTGAAATGGCCTTGTGCCACATGATGCCCTCGTGGGGGGGTGACTGAATATCGTCCGTGATTTCTCCTTTTATCTTAGGGTCGATTAATTATCACAGGCACCCTGTAAGGATAATGGCCGCATCACGTTTAAACACCGATTCCCATACGATAACCGAAGTTAAGCAATATCGAACCTGGTCAGTATCTAGATGGGTGACGGCTTGGAAATACCAAGTGCTTTTATTTTCACTCGATTGAACATCATTATATTTTTAAAAAAAAAAAGAAAAAAAAGTTGAATAGATGTGAGACAAATTGTTGAAGCAGTTTCCTACCATTCAACCTTGAGAGCTTGACTCACAATTCAAAAAGCTGAAATACGTCAGTACTTTCTGAACACACTGTTATTGTATGGCTTACGGTGCTACCACGTTAAAACACCGCTTCCTGTATGATCATCGAAGTTAAGCAACGTCGAACCTGACCAGTACTTAGATGGGTGACAGCTTGGGAATACCAGATGCTGTGAGCTTGGATGTGCAGGTGGTGTAAGAGATAATTGTTAATCGGCTAATTGAGTTCCAATTCCAATTGGGTTCGTTATACTCACTCACGCACAAATATCGTTGGGAAAGGTATGAATTCACCTCTTCTTCCCTCAGCTATGGGTTAATTAGTAAGACTTGTATCACTAAATCATTATTATCTCAAAAAAGATTCTTACAATATAAAACTATTTTCTGGCTTTAAATAATCTGCAAAGGGTTGATAATCCGTAAAAACAAATCAATCAATCAATAATAATAACCGATACTTAATTTCCTTTTTTCTCTTTCACCTTCACTCGTAACTTTATTTACATGTGCTATTTACAAACAGTATATTTATTGTGTACCCTGAGTTGTTTCGACCCCCCCCCGTATACTCCTGAGGCTCTGAGTGCGAAAGAATAACTCCTTTCACCCACTCTGTTCACATTCGGAGGACTGAGGAAGAAGGAAATAAATTCGCGAGCCTACGCGAAATTCTTTTTGATATAAAATGAGTAGAAAAATTAAATTAATCAGAGAATAATGTCTGAAGTCATGTGAAAGGTTTCGCTTCTGTTAATGGCGACCAGAGTCGAAGTTCTCGCCCATGTTAAGTTAATCGCCAATTATATTCGTTTCTGTTAATTCTGTTATCAACTTCGGGCTTTTCTTTTCAACCTAACTCACTTGGTTCACTCAACGCGTCACCGGACACTTTCTACCAGCGACGTTTCCTGTCAACCTAACTCACCTGGTTTAAAAAGTTGCTGCATGCATATCGTCCAGACTTCAACCAACCTATCTAACTTCGGTTAAATACTACGGAAGGTTCATTGTTGGACTTAACCCGCAACTAATCGACGCTTTCCCCGGATATTTAAACTGAACTTCCGAACTTTGGATTTTCCAGCCAACTTAACGGGACTCTATTTTTAACATTTAGTCAGAGTTGTATTATCTATCCGGTCAGTATTCCTCTGTTTACTTATTTTCATTGTTTGTTCGTGATTCTTTTTGGTTCACCGCCCTGGGTATGACGATAAACTACATCCGGCAGCAAGGCCTCTGACCAGGAGGTTGTGAGGAGCGTGGCAAATAGTTAACCCCCAAACTGGGGTCAAAACACTATGAAAGTGTAAAATTAGCTTTTAATACCAGCAATATCTTTCAAGAACAATCATCACAAGAGAGTCTCATGAACATTCTTCCAGTGAACGTGGAACACTAAAATAATTGTTAAAGAGAGACAACTCTTGTTTTATTCAAGCTTTAAATGCATGCTTTCCTTGATATCGTTGTTTCATATTGTACATCTTGTTAAATACATATTTTATGTGTAACAATGTCTTTGGTTTTTCCTTTTCTGCGTCAGCCATGTTTCCTAATCTAAAGTTAAATTAATGTGGTGAAGTCCGCTACAATATCGTCCAGACTTCAACCAACTTATTCCGTACACTTCGGTTAAATACTACGGAAGCTTCATTGTTGAACTTAACACTAGGATGGCCGAGGTATTGTTTTCGACACCTTCAAATTTTCAACAAATTCCTATGGAATAACTAGTTTTGGTTCGATGCTGAGGCTTATGGACAATTATTGAATTTTAGCAAAGATGCTTAACAGACTTAATTCTTTAAAAAAATATTCAGTGGAATAGCTGATTTTTGAGGTTTTACCTTGAATGGCCGAGGTGTCGTTTTTGACATCGAGGCTATTTATAGGGTAAATGCATTGAAACATTTCTCACAAGCAATAATACTTGTGTTTATGTCCCCTATCTATCTATACACACACACATAATTTATATATATATATATATATATATATATATATATATTAAATGGACAAAGTCCGACAATTTATTTATTAAAGACATTTTTTATGTTTAACGTTCTTTTATAGATACAAAGTATTTAAGTTTCATGCTCTGTTTATAATAAACAGTATTAAATAACATTTACCAAGCCTGAATGTCCGAAAAAATTTTCATAGAAAATATTCGTTCTTTGACAGGATTCGAACCTGCATCCTATACGGAACCGTCATTTACGCTGACGTGCCTTACCGATCGGCCATAGTAGAAGCGTTCGGTAGACAAGGTCGAATTGAATTGAAGAAGCATTTACTTAACGGTAATATTTATCGGTAAAATTTCGTTCGTCAGCGTAAATGACGGTTCCGTATAGGATGCAGGTTCGAATCCTGTCAAAAAACGAATATTTTCTATGAAAATTTCTTTTTGTTCTTAAACCGGCAAATGTTATTTAATACTGTTTATTATAAACAGAGCATTTACTTAAATACTTGTATCTATAAAAAAAACGTTAAACATAAAAATGTTTTTAATAAATATACATACATATATATATATATATATATATATATATATATATATATATATATATATATATATATATATATAATCAAAAATCTTTCAGTATGAGGTATACTAATATTTGTGAATTTCTTTTCAGACTTGTTATTCCTGACTTGAATATTGAATATATTAGAGATGGCTGCTTCACGGCGTAATGTCCATAAAGATGTCAAAGTAGCTGGCCATCGTAGTGTGAACCAATAACTACTCAACGCTTTCACCGGGCATTTAAACTGAACTTTCGAACTTTGGCTTTTCCGGCCAACTTAACTTACCGGGTCTTTAGTTTTAATATTCAGCCATATTTCTATTATATGTGTTCTACCAGCTCAGTATTTCTCCATTTACTTAACTTTTCCACTATTTAATTGATTCATTGTTCGTTTAGGATTCTTTTAATCGAAACACGGCCTTTGTATATTATGTAAATAAATTTTTGATTAATTTAAGTTCGTTGTTTTTGTTGTCTTCTTGTTGAAGATTAACGTCTTTTATTTTTAAATCTTTGTGGACCTCCTGCGACTCATCTTTACTTGGACGCACAGGCCATATCCTTATTATATCGAGCACCCCTCTAGGGGGTCTACAGGTTAAATCCACTTTAGCAGGAAGCGAGACAAGTACTGCCACTGCTTAAACCCCATCCGTTAAGCTTAGGCGCAGGTGTCTAATACCTTCAGAAATTTGGTAACCAAATATGGTGAGTTCAATCCTAGGTAGGACTACAAGCGTCAGCATAGTTAACAAATACGTTATAAGACCAATTAATTTATGTACGCCGGGGTCATCAATTAATTTATGATCTAGGAAGGCTGCATGAATATTTAAAATTGTGCTGCAAATAAAATATGCAATATCCACAAACATAAATTATAAGAAATGGCCAAATGGTAACGATATTCAATCACGACAAAAAATACATATTTGAAACAACAGATTAAATTTTATATACACAATTTACAATTTCTTTGTTTGTAATGATGTGTGCAAAAGTATATTTGAGAGAAAAAGTTCTTTGCTGTTTCGGAAATGTTCAATGTCGAAAAAGTTGTCTGCCTTTGATTAAAAAGATTGAATTTAACTTAGAGAAAAGTTTTTTCTTTGAAAGATATTGAGTGAAAAAGTTTGTGTAAATTTTTCTAATCTTTCCTAAAGGAAGTTTGTTTCTTTGGTGGCACATAATTCCCGTGTGTATCTTTCGCGTGTGTGAGTCTCAAATGCGACGAAAATTCGTTTACTATTTCCATTTATATATTTCTTAACAACGAAATCGGCTCCAACGAAATCGGCTCCAACGAAATCAGTTCCAACGGGGCTTGGTAACTGTTGCGAATTTTTCTGAGAAATGCGTGGGCGTATGTTGTATTTTTTATTTTTTAGCCAATAGGATTTCTTGAAACATTTAAATTAGCGATGAATTTGAGAAAGATTTTTTTTTATGTCGGTTGAGCCTACTTTTGCACAAAATTTGACTGTTTCGCTATGGAAATTTCTCGAAGCTTATTTTTATTTAACAACCAATGAATTTTAAGAAAATGTTTGAAATTGAAATGAGGGTTACTAAAGGACTACAAGCGCTAGCATAGTTAACAAATACGTTTTAAGATCTTGTTGCACGCAAAGCAAAAACTGTTCCTATTTTATTTCAGGTAATTTTTACGCACGAATATTAATTGAACATGTTGTGGACGGATGCTATAGTCCCAGATAAAAATAATAAAACAAAGAACAAGATCTCATACCATTCGTGCTGCCATAACAAATACAATCGTGTCCGCTAAAATATCAAATGCAATATTTATAAACCAATCACACCCAAGAAAACACTTACATCTTAAAACGCACCAATAAAATCATAGAATATAAATCAGAATGTTTGTTGTATTAGTCATCATTATTTTTAGGTAGATACCGACTAAATATCGTGCGGACGTAGTAGAAGACATAACACGTGCCCTTTTAGGGCCAATTAGGAATAAATAAATAATTTAATTCTGGAGCCGAATTTGTTCGGAAAAAAAGTGTATAAAAACATACGAAATCTGTTCCCAAACAATATACACGCGGCTTATGTCAGAGGGTACCCCCAGACGAGGCTCTGCCGAGGGGCGGAGTCTCGTCTCGGGAAAGTGACTCCGTTTTTAAGTAGTCTATAGGGAATTTTTGCCCGAGCCTACGGGCTCAATTACCCAAAAAAATAAAAACTCGGCCTTGTGCCACATCTTTTGCTGCCTTTTAAAAGCGGGTAAATAATTATACACGCGGCTGTCACCAGACTATACACACCTCTCGCTGATGACCTTCATGACCTCATGTCAAAAACGACAGCGTTGACAAACTCCAGACCACGGCAACATTGCCAACAGTAAGAAAAAATTCGTGTCTCTCGTATCCGTTTTTACTATGAATCACGCACACACATGTTGACTTTTTCATACAAACACACATATCACAAATTTTTATTGTTTCTCACATACGTACAAAAGACAGTTTTTATTTTATTTCAGAACTTTATTAACCCAAACAAAAAGACATTACTTTCCAATCTATCATCAACTGCTTGCATTCTTGTCGTTAATGTTTATTTGTTGAAACTACGTTGTCTTTTCTATTGAATTTTAT